AAAAAACAAAATATAGAAGATGCAGATATTATTATAAATTAATAGTAGAATGATTCATGATCAATATAAGAGAATATTCAAGTATATAAATTGATTTTATCTATTTTATTGCTCTGCATAATATTATTCTCGATAGGACCTACGTGAGATTTGTCCTCAGGAGACAATAAAAAAAACATACATTCGAAGTCGTCAAAAAATAAAAAAAATCAAGTCACTGTCTATATAAAGAAGAGCGGTGGTCTTTCTTTTTATTCAAACAACAATTTCTTCCGACAAGTGCACATTCAATAACAATTTACAACAAGATCAGAATGAGTGGATCAAAATCAAATCATAAAAGGATCAGAATGAGCAGATCAGAATCAAATCACAAAAAGATTAGAATAAGTGGATCAGAATCAAATCAAAATGCTGATACATCATCCAAATCAACGGCAACATCAAATATATGTCAACCACGACAACGTATGACAGAAAAATACCTTCTCCTATGGGTGGATGCCAGCATTGATCAAACAAACGAAGATTATGAAAATATATTAAAACAAATACGAACTATTACTGGTGATGTCAATGTCTTTAATCAACGAGATACATGCGTCGACTTTCTTACAGATGCTCAAGAAGACATCAAATCTTTTCTCGTTGTTAAGGATGCTATGTTTCGACAAATAATGCCCCTCATCGATGACATTCCTCAGCTGGATGGTGTCTATATCTTCAATAATATTGAAACCTTACATGAAGAATGGACAAAAGAATGGCAAAAAGTCAAGAGCGTTCATACCAACATCGGCGATCTATGCCAAGCATTACGAATCGGTATCAAGCAGTTCAATCAAGATTCAATACCTATGAGTTTTATTACAGCAAATGAAATGGTTTCAACTGATAATTTAAATCAGTTGGAGCCTACTTTTATGTATACCCAAATATTCAAGGAAATCCTTCTTGATATGCAACATGATGAACAAGCGATAAAACAGTTTATTGCTTATTGTCGAAAAAATAGCAGCTTGTCACCAATCAATATTGACCGTTTTGAGAAAGAATACCATGCCCAATCCGCTATTTGGTGGTATACTTTCCCATCCAATATCTATTCTATGCTTAATTATGCTCTTCGAATACTGGACGCTGATATAATTATTACTATGGGTTTTTTTATATGTCATCTACATCGACAAATTCAGCAGCTGTATGAACAACAAGCTAATAGTTATGCAAGAAACCCTTTAATAGTTTATCGAGGACAAGGTCTTATGAAATCAGATTTCGAAAAACTTCTGAAAGCAAAAGGTGGACTTATGTCATTCAACAATTTCTTGTCTACCAGTAAAGATAAAGACGTGTCCCTCAAATTTGCTGAATGTGCTTCAGCAAAACCGGATACGATAGGTATTCTCTTTATAATGTCCATTGATCTTTGTTTAAAATCAATACCTTTTGCCTACATAAAAGAGGAGAGTTATTTTGATGCAGAAGGTGAAATTCTCTTCTCAATGCACACCGTTTTTCGAGTGGGTGCAATTCAACCAATGGAAAATAAGAATCAACTATATCAAGTGGAATTACAATCAACATCAGATGATGACCAACAACTACGAATACTTAGTGATCGAATACGAAACGAAGCTGGTGGTACTGGAAGGCAAAGAATAGGTGGCTTATTGCTTAACCTCGGTCAATTCAATAAAGCTGAAGAACTTTATAACGTACTACTAGAACAGACATCTGATGAGGGTGAAAAGGGGTTTTATTATAATCAGCTTGGGATTGTTCATTCGAAGCAGGGTGCCAATGAAAAGGCTATTTGGTATTACCGGCAAAGACTCGAAATTCAAGAAAAAACTCTTTCTTCAAACCATCCTGATTTGGCTACTTCACACAGCAACATCGGTTTGGTGTATCATCAGATGGGAGAGTACTCAAAAGCACTTTCATTTTACGAAAAAGCACTTGA